GAGACCCTGGGCCCTTTTTCGAGGCCCAGTGCGTCACAATATATATATAATAAAAAAAAATGATGTATAACAGCAACAAAATCTACATATTTACATATTTATATATATATTACGTTTTTACACCTGGGGCAGGGGAGGGACTTCTGCAACCCCCTGTCTTAATAACAGCTCCCTGTTGTCGCAGAAGTACCCTATGCATGTTATGCAATCACCGGGTGCATACGCGTGCATTACGCACCGAGCACAGCGTACACAGATGCCCACGCGTAGATTTACCGCGGGGTCGATCTTTAAATAATGTTTTACACACACCGTGTACTCGACCCTGTGCTCGGGCGTCTGCGTTCACATACACCCGTAGCATAACCCTGTCTCCTCCCCGTCCCGTACGTATATGCAACCGATTATACACTCACCCTCATGAAAGGGGGCGAAGAACGCGTTGAGGGGCGGCGGTATCCCGTCCAACAGTGGCCCCTCGAATAGTCCTTTTGCCCCCTCGGGTGGTGTATCTGGCCGTCTTGGCGCCATGATCTGTAACATTTAATTTTTTTTTGTTAATAAATATGCTTAAAGTAAATACAAAACGGGGTAGTCTTGAAATTATTACACTTACCGGTCCCGTAATATATATATATAGCTGATAATCACGCCTGATAACACCGTGCGTCCTTGCCGCGTCTGGAAATAAGCATAAAAGGTGTCGGATAAATACAATTTTTTAAATCAAATAAAAATCTATGCAGGTTTAAAATTATTACATTTACAGCTCCGGTGACAGTCGGCTGTAGCCTGAAGGGGTCAGGCGCCGTTCGTCCTTTTTTTTGTGATATCTAGAAATAAATGTCAAAGATGTCAGATACAAAATAACTTTTAAAAAAAAAAAAAAAATGTATACAAACTCAACACCGATATGCATACCACTTTATTAATATTTCTGTACTTGCACATCGATTGTTAGTCATATGTTATTGATTGTTAGACTAATTAAAACATTTGTTAGATAATAGTTTTTTTGCAATAACGAAAATAAATTTTAGTGTTAAGTTAACGGAAATATATTGATTTTTTCACAGTTTTTGTTTCGAAACGGGTGCAATCGATGTGAAATCGTTTGTTAGTCCCGAATGAACTAATTAAAACATTTGTTAGATAACGATTTCGCTTAAAATAGCGAAAAACCATCTACCGTCTCGCTGGCCGGGAGTGGGGGTAAGGCATGGAATATGCGATGTGAAGATACCCGGAAATATAATTTTTCTTCACAATTTTCGTTTCTAAACGGGTGCATTCGATGTGGAATCGTTTGTTAGTTCCGAATAAACTAATTAAAACATTGGTTAGATAACGATTTCGCTTAAAATAGCGAAAAACCATCTACCGTCTCGCTGGCCGGGAGTGGGGGTAAGGCATGGAATATGCGATGTGAAGATACCCGGAAATATAATTTTTCTTCACAATTTTCGTTTCTAAACGGGTGCATTCGATGTGGAATCGTTTGTTAGTTCCGAATAAACTAATTAAAACATTGGTTAGATAACGATTTCGCTTAAAATAGCGAAAAACCATCTACCGTCTCGCTGGCCGGGAGTGGGGGTAAGGCATGGAATATGCGATGTGAAGAT